CTCTCTGCCTCCTGCTTCTCCCAAGAGGCCGTCCTGGATCCACCTATGTCTGGCATGCGCCAGTACCAATTGATCATCAGAATCAGTGAACTGTTCCGGGAAAGGTCGATTTTTCCACTAGGGGAATCGACTCTCAGTTCTGCAAAAGGTGCGACAATTTGCCGATATGTTTTTCCCCCTCTTCCGGTTTGAACTCGAGCGGTAAACTTAATGTTGATGGCAGTACCGCTAGCTTGTCCGACCAGTGAAAAATCAAGTTTTCATGTGATAATAAAATGGGAAAATTGTAAATGAAAGTTGTTTTTTTGTTAGTTTATCTTTTTTCTCCCTAGGGACTTGTTTCTTTCAGTTTTGACGAATTACTTTCTTTGAAGTGCCTTTTTTTATTATTATTTTTCTCGTTGTTCTTTTTTAGATTATCTTTTTCATATTTCCTTGTTAGCAATTTTGATACAGTGGCAAGTAGCACTGTTTTCATGATGAGGAATGGACGTTAGACTGTCATGGAGACAGCTAATCATTCCTCTGCAGTTCGTTCATTCGTTTCGATGGTAAATTGGTACTGATGGATGCCTCTTATGATGGTTGGTTATAAGCAGGCTGGCGGCAGGCAACCGTGGGAAGAGGGAGTTATCGATAGTCTTGCCGTCGGGTACTTAGCGTTTGCACATGCTGTTATTCGGGTTGTTGCCGAATGCATCGGCCTCGCATAAGATGTGAATACATAGGGGTTTTATCTTTTTCTTATAAAATTGTTCTTTTTTTTTTTGTTATAAATGTCGACTTTTTCGATTTCTAGGATTGGCGCTGATGCCATTCGTGGGTAAAAGGAAATCAGTTGATGAAGCGGCGAAATTGGAACGTTTTAAAGCAGAAGCCGATACGCTCTATAACGTTTATTTGATCGAAAATGCTTACAACGTTTTACGGAGGTACCATTAATTCGATATTGCAAAGGAACTTTGCCTGGAATACTTGGAACAGCTGTATGTCTGTGGCATGGCTCTAAACCTGCGA